TTTTTTTTTTTTTTTTTTTTTTGTTTAGTCAATGGGAGGGGGAATTAGAAGGAGTAGAATTTTGGAATGTATTGTTTTCATTCTTTGCTAGAAGTCAAGGTCATCCTTTGTCTCCAGACTTTCACACCTGACCGGAAGAAGCTGGGCATGAATGCCAGCGTGGAAGAAGATTGGACCATGTGAAGGACTGTGGGTGTGGGGACAAGATCATGAACTTTTAACTGGATGGGATTCTGATGTAACTTCCAGAGTTGGGATCCCCACAACATGTGCCAACATACCTGCTTTATTAAATTGGAACTTTAAGCATTTTGCCTTCGATTCTGATTTGATTCTACATGGTATTTGGAATGCTGACACTTATATATTCAAGCAAAAGTTATGATGGAAAGAAAGTGGTGATAATAGATCATTTTAATCAAATGAAATTAATTTAAATTAATTGCTATTGAAGATGAAATTTTAATATCATCTACCAGATATAAAGCAATATAAACCAACTGTGATATTTACAATTATAACATTTATTAACAACACTGTTTGGACCTGCAACATTTCAGCTTTTGGGATATCTGAAATACTTAAATAATTCCTTAGATCATTGTTAACTTTAAGAGTAAAAAGAATCCTATTCCTTTTAATAGGCTTTTGTTATCAAAAAAAACATTGTGATCTGCAGATTTTAAAAAGTGAGTGAAATGAAGAATTAAAGGTTCTAGATAGGTAATGGAAGAGTGTATTAACTTCTATTGAAAGAATGTTAATGAACTTCAAATTACTGTTCATACAAGATATTTATAATTTATTGGAGTCCATTATTTTTTTATAGAAAAATATATCAAATAGCATTTTGTTGCAGATGTAATAAGCATTATGCTTTTTAAAAAAATCAGATATATCTACAATGTCCCACACTTACTAAGCCTGGGAAAAAAGTAGTGGATTACATGAATATGATTGTGCAACAAAAGGTAAATTTTCAAAGGATAATATTCTTTTGAATTATATTTAATACTTAGATTCTCCATGCTTTCTGTATGGCTAAAGGGCTGGTATTGCAGTATTTAAAAAATAAATGAATTACTCCATTTATTCAATGGGTTGAAAACATGATTACATTTATGACTTATGAGGTTATTGCCTATAGATGTAGACTTTGTATAATAGACAAGTATAATGAAATATGGGACTGATTTATATGGAATACAGTAGGATAAAAAGATAGCTGTATACATGTAATAGAAATATGTACTTATTAAATAATATTTAGACAAGTACATATAGAATTGTTAATTATTGTTATAATGACATTTTTCTTTGTCATATTTCTTTCACTTTTTTGTGAATGCACTTATGTGTTCTGTTTTTTATTCTCTTTGATAGTGTACGTATCATCACTATTATTTTTTGTTTTGTTCTTGTTTTCTTATTAAATAAAAAACAATTAAAAATAAAACAAAAAACTGTCCACCTTTCACCGAAGCCAAGACAAAATTCCAAAATATGGTATGTATTATGCTCCCTCTTAAAACTTACAGTTTCACAAAAAAAGTAGCAAACCAGGGAAAATACTTGATGTAATAACTATTTTAAAAGAGATGTTTTTAACATAATATTTTTATGTTAAACAGATTTATTCTATATGTTGCTTACTTGGAGAATGGCTGCTTGTTTTATACTTAAGATGCAAAGTTTCAACTATGAACTAAATCTTTTTTTTTAAACATATTTTTATTTCCATTTTCATAACATACAATCACATGTATACTATACATAGCCAGTATCATATAGTATTAAGTAATGATTACATCAGTTCCTCGTCCTCAATGCCCCAAAAAGATTAACACCCATTATTAGCTCTTCTACTCTCCATACCTTTCTTCTACCTCTCTCTTATTTCCTATCCTCCCTCCATCTACCTTTCCTACTCTACTTCCCCTTCCTTTCTCCT